TATTCAACATTTTCTTGTGAGAGCTGAAACACAAAAGCAAGAAATAAAACAAGCTGTAGACTTGAGGACAGACTTTAAACTAGTTTTATTATTTTGGAGAAAAGGTCTGTGAAAATACTTGTGCATTTGTCATTATTCATCTACTGTTTAACCCACAGAACTTTGTAATAGTTTAAATCATAATAAATTTACAGATTAAAACAGGGTGTAATGAAAGAATTTAAGTAGAAAAAGTGTGTGTGTATAGTATATAGTGTATATAGAGTTTATGTAACACGCACTACACAAACTCTCTTATACACAAGATGGCTGTCTTATGGGATGTTGTGCTGTGTAGTATGCTAGATGTTTGCCAGTGTTTCGGAGGTCCTTCCTGCCTCTGTCATCAGGGTGATTGGTGTGTTTGTCCTATTTCTGTAAGATTTATTTGAATATTATCATCCAGTTTTCCAGGCAGTCCTTTTGGGTTTTAAAGCCAAGATTCTGAATGCATTTATAGTTTCCTTTATGTGTTATATTTGTCCCACCTATCTCATCCTCCTTGATTTAACCATCCTAATGATATTGGTTCAAATCATGAAGTTCCTCGTTATGAAACTTCATCTACCTGATACTCCTGTTGCTTGTATGTATCAATGTTCTTCTCATATTCTTTTCTCAATTATGAATATTCCTTTAAACATTATCTGAAGAGTAAGAAAGATGATGTCACTATATAAATGTGATAAAATACAAGAACTACAGTATTAGAACCATGTGGCATTGAAAGAAGTATATGCGCATCTTCTGAAAATATACAAAAACTACGTTATTCAAATAAAATTTACAATATCAACTAATTTTAATAACTTAAACTGAGTTCAGATTTCCATTGCCATCCCTATTTTAATCTTTAATTTTAATTTACAGGCTCAATCCCAGTGGTGTAATAATTGAAATGGACGTATATGTGAGTACATTATACAACTTCATTTTGTATAGCTCCATCCTTAATGGGGTTATTAATGAACCATTAAAACATTTATCAAATGTTAGTTTAGATTACCACAATGAAATTATAATTGGGGGCGCTGGTGCATATAGACAGCCAACTGCCCCTCAGAAACAAAAATTATGTGTTGAGTATGTCTTGATCACCATACCCCATAGACCTTACGATCTACGTGCTATCAAAGCAGCAAACACCCTTTTTTGGAATTTCTGGATTTTACGTTCAATAATATGATATAGGTAACGAATAGCATTAGTGGTATTTAAGTAAGTGGATGAAGTTGTTATTTTATTCTTTAGGAAATCAACAAAACAAGTAAGACAGTTCTGAGTATGTAATTTCAGTATCGTAGTACAATGGGCATTTTCGCATCCGGTTTAAATACGGCTATAATAATAGTAACAGAAATTTATTATAATGCTGAATTATCACACTGCCATCTACCGACCGGTATGAGATCTAAAATTGAAATGTCGCCAACAGATGGCACCAGCAGTATAAAGTTTTCACCATTGATTTAAGCTTATAGGCAAGAATGAAAACAGTTCCGAAGGTAGAACTGAGGATAATCTAGAACTAAACACAGAGAAAACTAAATACGTGTTTATGTCTCGTCGCCAGAATGCAGGGAGGAATCATAACATAAAGATAGCTAACAAATTCTTCGCAACTCTGGCAATCGCATATGCGAACGACAGTAACAATAAAAATTGCATTCACGATAAAATTAAGAGCAGTTTATATTTGGAGAGTGTTTGTTTATCAGAAAACGTTGGTTTTCCCTCTTCTATGCAAATATTAAATCAATTGTACACAATTAAGAATATATGTGTTGTCTTTCATGGGCTTGAAACTTGGTCTCTTATATTAATGGTAGAACTTAAATTGGTGTGCTGAGAAGAATATCTGAACTTAAGAGGCAGGTAATAACAAGGGATGGAGAAAACTGCACAAGGACGAGCTTTATAACATACGCAGTTCTCATCTGTCACAGACACGCCCTGCTTATTTCATCCTAGTTGACTTGGTCACCTTTTTCACGAAGACCCTATGAATGATTTTGCTTGGAGACCCTGAAGTGGAGAACCACTTTTGCTATCTAACTGTATATGGGAGTAAAATATTAAAATGAATTTTAAAGAAACAAGGTAATGACGTTGTGGTCTGGCTCACGACAGGGCAACTGGCGGGCTCTTGTGGAGAGGTGATGAAATTTTTAGGCCCCATTAAAGGCGGAGAATTTGTTGATCTTCCTGAAACTCAGCTTCTCAGGATGCATCGTGCTCCACAGATAACTGTGTTATGGATATTTAATACGTTCTTTGCACAAAGTGCACAAATGAAAGCACAATAGACAGGTGGTGCCCGTTCGTTCGAAATCCGAAACTTGAACGCATTTTGGTAAAATCTAGTAAGGTATATCGGGGTCTACATCATCACTAGCCACGGAAAATCTATTTTTGATTTCTGTCGCTTCAATATAGCCCTTGCTACGCACTAACGTAAGTTCAAATATAACTTACCAATTCTGTCAAAAATCGGTCCATCGTAAACGATTTCATCCGTTAACATATACATCTTTTATCGGAAACATTATTTTTACATTACGCTTATTTAATGGAATACAATTATAAACAATTTCTGCCTCTGCTGAGCGAAAAAGGCCACAGATAAATACACGCTTACGATTGTTAGATTAGGTTAGGTTAGGTTAGGTTAGGCTAGAAGCATTCTTCCTAGTTAAGTGACATACGTATAATGGAACAAACCTGACGGACATGACTCGTGTCTGGTAAGTTCGTATCGGACGCATTGCTGTGTCGTCTGTCTGTTGCGTCCCGGCGAGGTGGCGGGTTATCCAGTGTCCCCGAAAACCGACGCATACTCCCCGGCATACTGTTCTTTAGCTTATAGTTAAATTTTCTGCTGCGTATGATTTCCGGCGTGGAGATCACATCACGTTCCCATCTTAGAGGCTTTCTGAAACACACAGATCAACAATAATAATATATCTAAATATGAAAAACGACTAGGGATAGTTGACTGCATGGAAGGGGTCACAGAGACAATGTGAACCTTTCATTATTTGCATTCAGGAATCATCGCTGATGAAACTGCAGAAATTAATTAACCTGTCACAGAAAGACGTCCGAATCAGAAACATTTTATTCTTGTGGAACCAGGAAACTTGTGGATTACCTGGTCAAATATATGTGTAAATTCTGTGTGATTATTTTTGTCAAAACGTATAACAAAATTATCTTTAATTTCTACTTTCGTTATACAGTTTTAAAATTTAATCTGTTGCCATCAATATTACACATCAGCAAGGAAACTGCGACTAAAGATAAATATCACAAAATACAACATTCTTTACGGGTCTCTGCTTATAATCGAGTTTTGAATTAATGTTTTATTAGTTTATTTCTTTCATTAACGTCTTTGTACTTACATTACATGGCTGGGAGCAAATATATCTTTGTGCAGACCGACTGATCTTCAGATGTTCTTTGCAGAACTGAACATGCTACGTCTTTTGTTTTACCATCACAAAGCTTCAGTCAACATAATTCGAATTCCTTTTGTTGCCTCTATGTTGAAGAATTCTTAGATTATATCTATGGGAGGTTC